TCACAAAACCCGTTCTTACAGGTACGACTGTGAAAACCCTGCATTTCCTCTTATCAAATACTTATGTGAAGTGGTAATGCTACTGTAGTTGAAATTCATTTCCTTCTATGGCAATGAATACAATACCTCAGTGAACGTAATAAGATATTTATTAAGGTGTCAGACTTACTTATCTACCTATATGAAATATAGGGCAGGTCCGCAGACAATCGAATTTTGCCGTTTTAAGGAAATTTAGGCGCGGTAAGTATTCGATCGAAACATGATTATATTCTAGCATCTCAATAGTCAAACCTCTCCAGTGTTTTGTTTTCGAGGGTCTCATATTTGGATTTATTTGGCCTTACTCGGATGAAATAAATCGCTGATCACTAAGCTGATCATGAATTTAAAGCTAAATGCGTCGGACGTGTACAAATATTGGATAACATATATATTCGATGTTGATAGTCACATTTCTGAAAAAAGTTTGCAAAGATACTTTCGTTTATATACGGAAATTTTAATGTGGAGAGGTCTCCCTCGTTCCCTCGCGAGACCAAAGGTATTAGTTTTTGAATCAACAGGTAGCAGGTTGCAGCCCATATTTCAATTGCTTCATTTTTAATTCAACACTGGAACAAGTCAGCCATCGTCACGGCGTAAAGATCTCCAAAAGGAAGAAACTCATAGTTTGCGCATTTTGGTAAAATATGGAGCAAATTAGTTAAGGTAGCTAATTGAAATACGTGTCAATCTTGGAAATCCCTTGTCGCAGAAACATATTCATCTGTAGCCTTTTTCACGCCAATTTTTTTTTCACGCTAACAAGGTCTGCCTAACCTCCAATTTAGCAGAAATACAGCTGTATACAGAACGAGTTGGTTCAGCATTTTAGCAAGATACACCTGACTATTCCATCCTTTTGTTTTCTTGGATTGGTATGTAAAAATATTAAACATAGGCATGCTACGCATGCAGGAGTTATTTTTTTGGATATCTGGGTTGAAATGGGACACTTAGTAACTGATGCTGATGTCTGAATAGTTGTTGGCGATAATAACCTGCTTTGACACCACGCTTCCTGCAGTCCCCTCCAAAGCCCTAATTTGAACTCGTCATGCATCGCTCTCTCTCCAACGTTGCGTGACGAGACCAAACAACGACCTCCTCGTAGGCTATAATCATGCTTACTACCGCCTCTTCGTCAGAGACGAAAATGTAATTATTATTCTGGCCGTGAAGGGCCACAATCAGTAATTCCGTTTGGTTTTACCTGTGCAGAAGAATGCACAATAGGCGTTACGTAGCACTTTTTAATTGGCGTAAAGCAATGTGCTGGACATTGTTTTGGCATCGAGTGTCAGCACAGGTAACCCAGGCTTACTTTTTGTCAGTGTTACGTACACGTGGTTACAGAGAGAACATATGGGGCGAAGTTTAGGTCTGGAAATTTGCTTTTAAATGGAAATAAAAATCAATGAAACTTACCATGTGGCGATTTGTTGTTGTCCTTAATATGTACACGAAGTTTCGGGAAAAATACTCTTCTTCACCTTTCCTTCAGGTGAAGAAGAGTGTTTTTCCCGAAACTTCGTGTACATATTAAGGACAGATTAATTTTTCCCGAAACTTCGTGTACATATTAAGGACAACAACAAATCGCCCCATGGTAAGTTTCATTGATTTTTATTTCCATTTTCAAGCAAATTTGTAGACCTAAACTTCGCCCCATATGTTCTCTCTATTTAACCATGTGTATGTGACACAAACAGTGAGCCTAGATTACCTGTGATTCGATTAATTAATACGATTGTCTTATGTAACCTTTGGCGATTGGATCTATTAATAGATTAATATAGCGGACGAAACAACTATACTTTTCTGACAAAAAAAAAGACTTGTGGAAGTCACTGCCACATACCTTAGATTTCAATCGGTCAAAAACTTGCAGTCCATAAAATGCCTTCAGTGATATATCGTTCCTGGGCAAGGAAAACTTCAGAGTTTTGTTATTAGATGTAATTAAGCAGGAGAAATCATTATAAACAAAGTCATCGCCGCGTTCAAAAGCAAATTTTTATTGAGCGACCCCACATTTCCTCTAGCAATTTTAGTGTTTCCAAATTGTCATGGATGGCATCAACTTGTTCCAAAGTCTTAATCTGAAGAACTCTCCATGTTTACAAATAATGAAAAGCATTCGACAGTGATTTTGCTAAAACGGCAACGCCTTCAATTCGAACCAGTTCATTTCAATCCGCTGAACCGCAAATCCGCGGTCTTATATTGTACTGCCAATTAGATCTCTTGTTTTTCCACGTCCTCGTTGCCGTCGCCGTCGTGGTTGCTTAAGGTCCCTAAATTCGACTTCGTGAGCGCGGGACTGCGGATGCACTAGTTTAACGGTCATATCATTTCGTCATTCTTCGACGTCAGGAAAGCTTGAATGCGGGACCACTTGTCCAAATGTCCTCTCTTTTAATATTATTTTTCGACATCGGGACCGAGGGAGCAATCCATTCATAACAGTCAATAGCGGCCAGGTATTCTGAAGTTGCTCCTATCAACATCTCAAGCAATATTTGATTCAAAATTTTTCTCATGTTCCACTCAGTCTCCTTTAGAACGAAGAATAACCATAGTGGTACATCGATCTCAACTCCGCTGCTTTCCCAACACGACTGATACGTTTCCTTAATTCCCTAACCCGCTCTCACCGAGTCACGCTTTGGTTCGCTGAAATTTGAAGACCTGTCAAACCACCAATTACCAAGAACGCTCTGATTGGTGCGACATCGAAAAATACTACAATCTGATTGGTTTGTGATACACCAAAAAAGTGCGCCAATCACATTGCTTTGAGATACACCAAAAAAAGGTGCGCCAATCAGAATAGTTAGAGATACACCAAATTCCACTTATCAGATTACACTACACCAAAATACACCAATCTATACGCTAACATATGGTTATTCTTTAAAAAAAAAAAACTCAAAAATGAGACATGAAAATCAAATTAACGTTTATAATGAAAACACCCAACATGTTGGTATAGCTGGTAGAAAACCGCTTATGGGTTGAAAGGTGCCACTTAAAACAAAAGAGATAAAGGCTTTTGTGAAAATGCAGATTTTATTGTGTAACAAATCTAACAAAAACAAAAAAGTACTTCTTCTACCAATGTTACACAAGATTGCTATACAGAAGTCATTTTAACGTTTGTAATTGTTCTCTTAATTGTTCTTTAAAAAAAGTTAAGGCCTTGATTTGGCTTATTATCTAGAAGGTAAGATATTCATCTTACTAACATTGCACAGAGCCAAAGATATTTATCAGTTCGGCAAAAAAAGTTTGAATAGATCTGAACACTAGAGATTTCTCCAATTAACAACTGAAAGCAATGCGTGCAATTTTAAAAAAGAACCTAAAAGTTATCCTTTTAGATAGACTCGCCAATAACGTTTTGAAAACATTGATTTTAGCATACCTATCTTTTTTTGTCTTTTTAATCCATATTTTTATTTAAATGTTTTTTAAAATTCTTCAGTTCAAAATGTCTATGAAAGCACCAAAACTGTCTTTTTAAATTGGAGCTCTTCTTTACATTTTCTTTAGATATTTGAATATAAGAAGAACAGATTTGTATTTTAAGATGGCTCTGAATAGGGTGATAGCTTTTATGGTTAACGGTTAAAATTTTGGCCAATTTACGACAACGGTTAGTATCTTGCCATTGTGTTCACCAGAAAAATTTTTACGGTAAGTTTCTTTTTTTACGACTGACGGTTAAAATCTGTCAATTATTACGGTTAACATTTTGAAAATGTATGTTGACTAGCATACGAAACGTCAAGTTCTATATAAAATGCATTGGACTACAATGTTTATCACCGCTGTTTGTCTTATTTTGTTATTATCATTGTTATCAATATCTTTAAGTAAATAAATAAATTGATAAATCAATATATAACTAATTAATTGAACATAATTTGGCATTAAAATAAGTGAATTATATTTTACTCTGATCATTGATTTGGACACGAAAAATCTTTGCTTAAAAATTCCAAGGGACGTAAAAAGCTACATTACACTGCAATGATGATAGTAACTCAATGTATAAATTTCTCCGTAGGACCCCACCCTCTATTTGAATAAAATGAAGGAGGTTTTTGTGCTCACTACAATCTTGGCTGTGTTACCCACGTATGTAAGCAGTACCATTTATTACGTCGACGCCGGAGCTAGAGGCATGGACTCGAATACCGGACAAACCATCGACCAACCTTTCAGAACCATTCGCAGGTGCGTCAATGCACTAAGCTCCCCAGGGGACGAGTGTCATATCCGTGCAGGGCGCTACCACGAGCCGGAATTCCCTATTGCTGCTAAAAAAGGCAGCGCGTCTCAACCTATTGTTATACAAGGTTATGGAAACGAAAATCCTGTCATCGACGGAACAATTGAATTGATACCACTTGGGAGCTCGTCGTGGGTGCGGGGTAGCGATGGGATCTATAGCGCTCAAATCGGTCAGGACATCTGGCAGCTTTTCGTCGGCGAAGAAATGATGACGAACGCGCGTTGGCCGAACGCCTTGTGGTCGGACAAGTCCGTATTTAACAATAGCCACTGGGCAAAATCTGCTTCGACCTCAACCCGTGGAACAATGATTGACAATGGTGATAAAGACTTGGCAGGAAGCAGGTTCAACGTAACAGGGGCAATGGCTGTTCTGAATATTGGAAGCTTCAACACTTTTACTGCCAAAGTCGAAAGTCATGTGCCTGGAAGAAATTCCTTTACTTATGACGAGACTTTTGGAAGTATAAAGTTCGTGCCAGCCAGAGTACAAAACCAGTACTTTTTAGAAGACAAACGTGAGTTTCTTGACAATGATGGCGAGTGGTTTTTTGATCGAAGCACGAGAACTGTCTATGTGAAGACTCCGGATGGAGCAACTCCTGCGGGGAAGATTCGTGGAAAGGTAAATTATAGATCTTCTGATACTTAATCAATAATTTGCCTAAATACTTCTTAAGAGTAACCGGGAAGCTTTTGTCGAACTTTTTCATGACGCCGTAAAAAAATAGGAATACATCTTTTGATCATGGGTGGCGATTTGCACCTTAAAACATCGCGGGTCATTCAGAATTGTCACTATATTTCTCAATCTGGTAATCTAGTCAGCTGTTTGTAAGGAGTCGCCATGCACCGCATTTCTCAGTTTCTTTAAGCTGGGAATTTTTGAAGGAGTGGGCGCACATCCAGGGATCTTTGTTCGAAGGTGCCATTTTCTACTCAGAAAATGCATAACCTTCTTTAACTATAACAGTAATAATTATAAACCTTATTTAATTGTCAAACGTATTAAGTTGTACTGATACACGCTAATTGGGAAAACTAGACCCTGAATGAGCTAGGAAATCTTCCTATACAGTTCATTTGATATGTATAGTCTGCAGATAGATTAGTTTAAGAAAAAAGTTCAAGGTACAAAGAAATGCCCCTATTTTACTTGCGAAAGGGTTACACGCTTTGAAGAAAATCTCTTTTAGTACTTTTGGCATTTAAAATGAGATAAATCATATGCGAGCGCGTAAAAGTTGTCATTCGAAATATGTTTTCTTCACTCCAGGTGCAGACTTACGCTTTCACCATTTCAAACTGCGAACATTTACATTTCAAACAACTGACGTTTTTTGGCACCACTTTTAAGACGCTCCCAACGAGCAAACGTAGAGTTATTGGTGACTTAACGTTTCACTCGATCAACTTTAGCTTCCCGTCGTATTCCATGCGCATGCTCGGTGTTACTGCTCCTCCACTCTGGACATTCATCCGTGCATCTCGCGGGCGCCGCTTCAAGTTGATAAACAGCACTTTCTATGGAACCGATGGACTCGCTCTTCAGTACTACGGTGATGGAGTACTGCTAGAGAACAATCTGTTTGAGTACAATGATTGGTCCGTTTCCCTCAGTCGAACCAAGAATGGGGGATTTGGGACGGTGATATCACAAGGACCCAACGACCAATTTGTTAGCAACACTTTGCGTTATAACGGTGCGGCTCATGGATTCCGTCCGAATGGACGTAACCCTCGGGTCGAGCTCAACCATATCCACCATCAGTGTTGGGGAAATTTGCAGCACGACGGAGCGGGTATTCAGTTCCAGATCCCCTCGCAAACCGATGCTATGTGTATGAACAATTGGGTGCATTCGAGTCCCAAACCTGGACTGCGTTTTGATGCAGCGTAACCACCTCGAGTTGGGGAACGCGGCACTATGAAGAAGAATGTCATTTGGAAGTGTGGTGGTATCATCGTCAAGGGTAATCGTCACCGTGTAGAAAACAACCTTCTCTTTCACAAAGGACCTGGAGCGAGCCCTGCTGCAGGCTGCACCTTGTGTGTGCGAAAGTACTTCCCTTCGAGGCCGTTGGTTGAGATGAACCAGCAAACTGAAATTAAGCAGAATGCTGCAGATGTTGCGAATGGAGGCAGGAGTTCATGGCCTTTACCGGGTATTGTGACTAAGAACGTGATAGGACCTGTTGAACCGGAAGTCATGGACGCAGATAATTTGGACTTCCGGCCTCGTGCAACCTCCAGATACAACGCGGATATCGTCGGACCCTACAAATATGATTCCAGTAGCAGATTTTATTGGATTCCTGGGCGAAAATTTTACAAGGCCAGTACCCCTGTTCCTCCTGATAGAAGTACTACTGTCAAGGTAAAGATATAAAGCTTTTCCGGAAGCTTTTACTTTGGGGTAATTATCAATTGAGTTTTGCAGTTAGAAAAATGATTGCAAAGCTTTTTCCAAACTACATCTCTGATTGGTTTTCAATTATTTTGCTACCTTTTAATTAATTAGGTGTAAAATTAAAGCTGATAATGGCTTACTTACTTGCATTTTCCCGCACTCAATGCCAGTATCTGGTGTTCTCTGAGATTCTAAAATTGTCCTTTGTATTGGTATAACGGCCAAGGAAAAATCACTCTAAAGCAAAGCTGTAAATGTGGTCTTGCAGCACATAACACCTCGCACAAGGACTTCACAATAAACTAACGAGCCTTAACAATTCCCAAACGCTAAGCCAGAACACTTCTAATTTTTGCAGTTCATAACTAGAGCTAAACAAGGCTCATGCTGAAATCATTTAAAACCCAATAAACGCAGTAAAACTTAGACCAAATCTGTATAATACATTTCAATTAATCGAATTCAACTGATGAATCTGTTCAGTCTTAACTTCGATTATTCTCTGGCTGTTAAAACTTCGTCATTTTATCACCGACAAACTGGTAATTTTAAGGACCAGCCTAACTTGCGCAGCCACATTAACAATCGTTTGCTACTCGAGGATTCAAACCACCACCTTTTTTTTTCCTCTCAGTTTAACAGAGATGCTGTGATGTGGCTGAACGCATATGAAGTCTCTATCCATCTTCTCTACTTTGGTACTAACAAGGCCGACGTTGCAAATGCAACTCCGGCTTCGCGTGAGCACAAGGAGAGAATCACAGGTTATGGTAACGTGCATTACCTTACTGAGAGTCTTTTAAGAGGAACCACATACTACTGGCGGGTCGATGCCGACAAAGATACCACAACTACTTACAAGGGAGACGTATGGTCATTTCAGACCGAGTGAGAACAGAACAGGATACACGCAGAAAAGATTACACCCAGCTGCAGTGTAACGCAGCATTTCATGGGCATTACTTGTGATTAAATATAAGGTGGATATAGAAATAATAAACAGGACTTCAAAACGAAATGTTTCAGTAGGCCTTCACGTTCATGAGTTGACAGAAACGTTCGCGTAAGAGGTTATTGATACAAGAGAGATTAAGCACCGCGTTTACGTGAAACGGCAAGCGGCAAGAGTGACCACGTGACCTTGTTTTTCTCGCCATTTTTTCAAGTTTGCCGCGGTTGCGCTTTGCCGTTTCTACGTGAAAGTAGACTGTTTAGCGTTTGTCGTGCACGAAAGATTTTCCCCCCTTTTTTCTCTCACAGAATAGAAGTTGATTGCCGGAAAAAGGGCACCAAAACTATTTCCTTAAGTCATACAAGGGCGCCTTGAAATCCACCTTGACGTAAGCTCACGCGAAGCTAAAGCAGGAAGGTTCACGCTGTTGTACATGAAATGTAAAAGGACAAGTTGACGTTTGCCCTTTCACGTAAACGCGGTGCTAAACCTCCCTATAACTTCTACAGAAACTTAAGGTTACCGTGCACCCTCAGGGGTTTCTCGCGTTCAAGCGATGTAGAGCGTCCGGTTCAAACTGTAAATATCTAAACCCCTATATCAAATTAAAGCTTAAAGGACTGGCTATCAGACTATACCAAACATTTTGAAAAAAATGAGTTGTCGAATTTTCACGACTTCTAAATGCGAGCGCCCAAATCACCTTTTGAACGTTACATGTCAAAGCGAATTTTGTTTTTCGCTTAATTATGTAATGTGTTCCTCCGTTTCCGGGGCCAAAGTGCCAAAAAAACGTGTCTGCGATTCGCCCTATTCAATTTCAGTGAAAAGTTACAGAACATTTTTGAAATAGGATTAAAATGTGGAGTGATCGTACAAAAATCGCTCTTGAAAAAAAAGTATTTAGAAATAAAAAATTCAGAGACACATTTTTGTTGTTTATATGTAAAACTAGCTACTGTCAAAATTTGAGAGCAATCGAACAAATTCCCTTGGATTATAGCTCTTAAAAGGTTATTCGGGCGCTCGCATTTAGAAATCGTGAAAATTCGACAATTAATTTTTTTTCAAATTTTTTGGTATAGTCTGATAGTCAGTCCTACAAGCTTTCATTTGATATAGGGGTTTAGATATCTACAGTTTAAACCGGACGCGCTACATCGCTTGCACGCGAAACACCCCTGAAGGTCGGTGCAAGGCAACCTTAAAAGTGCAGGGTAAGCGTGCAAAAGACAAATACAGCTGCAGTTTGCTGGGGCCTTAAAGCATGCCCAAGACTGACCAGCTGTCTCAGACGACATTACCCTTGAATCAATCATCAAGGTCACGAGAATAAAGTAAATGATCACCAACTCAATAGCACTAGATTGTTGAAGAAATTCTCCTTGTCAGCACGTTATAATTAGGAAATGTATAAAGAACAACCTGGAAAATACGCTTACGGTTAGCAGGCTATAAAGGGTGAAGAGATCTATTTCGGTGTATGCACCAGGTGAGATCTTCTCACAAAGCAGCCAAAATGGCAGCCCTCGACAAACCTTCTCAGAGGTACATCGATACTCTTTTATTGTACAAAGACTCTATGGTGTTTTAACCTTGGTGATATTTCTCGGAAGGAAAATATATTACATTATTTGACTTGGCTAAGCAAGGATTTCATTATTGTACATCTATTTATACGCTGCCGAGATTTACCACGCTTCAACTTTAATCGCAAAAACAAGCCATTTGCGGGTGAAAAAATTGGAATATTTTTCCAAGAAGCTACCTACAATCTCCGGAAGCTTTTCGATCCTTAGACAGTGGCTACTGATAGTGACCTCTGCCGGGGCTTGTGGTGCGATTAAAATCAAAGTGCAAACGATTTTAGGCAAAATTTATTTCATTCCTAGGAATTTTCTACACAGAATGAGCACCAACTAATGCAGGTGAAACCGCTACGGTAAGAAACTCGGGACAAAGACAACTTGTTTTTCTAAGCAATGTTTTTCCAGGTCGAGGCATTTAAGGGTAGTCAAGTAAGCATTATTTTGATCAAAGGGTCCAGTGCAAAGGTACAGTGAACCAGATAAGGCAAAACGCTCTTTTCTGCATAAAAAACAACGATTATTGGCCCGTTCTCTATGTGAAATTTTTTGCAGTTTGCAATCTCGCGACAAACCAAATATCTCGGTATCCAGTCAGTTTTCGCAAAATACAATTTAGGAAATAAAGAACAGAGGCTTCTTAATTAATAGAGACCTGTTGACTGGAGGGAAAATGAGCTAAAAAGCGTCTTTACTTAAAACGATTTTTGAGCACTTTAACGGACAAATTGAAAGAAATCCAAACCACATCACGTCGACCTAAACCACATGAGCCTGTCTCATCTCTTCTCGACTCTCCCCAGTCCTCGGCTGTTAAGTTTGCACTTGTCTGTGCTCTAGTCAAATTTTGCAATACTGTCAAGCAGACAGTCAGAAAGAGGAGAAAAGGAAAGACAGATGAGGGGGAGGGAGATGGGAGAATTCTTGAGAGCTTGAGTTCCCTTATATTTTCGCAATTAGTCCTTTGTCTCAGCAAATCTGGTCAAAACATTTTCCTTTCTACCAACCTTATGCTTCTTTGTTAAATAATTTAGAGAATTTGCAGTAAATTTAAGCAAATATCCGTTGGATTCTCTTGACATGTTTACTGGAAAACGGAGTGAAAATACAAGGGGCGTTCAATCAGTTCTGTAATTTCTGGATAAAGAATCGGTATTTAACGTTAATTTCGAGAAAATTATTTCCAAATGGAAAATTCGGCTTAATGATAACTAAAGATGGATCGCTTGATTTGCAAGCACCAAACACTTCTCGTGAACCATTTTTTGACTTTAACGAATAGAGAGGAAGGAAAAAAAAACTTTCCTACAACGAAAACGAAAGAGAACAACTTTTACTTTTGAGCTATGTAAGACAAATTATCTACTCCTAATTTAGGGTATAACTTCTTCTTCAGCAAAGAAATAAATTCACGATAAAAGCACTTTACCTCAAAGTCACGCAAGTGAAAGATGAGTGTATTGCGCTACACTCCCTCCACGTCAACTGTCACGCAATCTTTGTTTTAAAGAAAACCTAATTATTAATTCAATTCGTGCAGTACACATTCTGTCACGTCACAGGTTCATCCCCGCTAGAACCTCGTTGCAAAGTTTCTTGTAATGCCACTGGTTGCCGCTGACTCGTCGCAAGCGCAATCCGTTAAGATTCTCCCGGAGGGGGCAGACTTCAATTTCAGCACAAACAGCCCCCTGCTGTAGGGTGAATGTCTGCTCCGACTGTTCGTAAGCAATCTTGGCCGACCGCTGATCCAGCGATCTCCTTATTTCACTGATAATATCAGGGATACACTTGCTAGAAGTCATATTAACAGAAAATGCCATACGCAAGGTGTTCGTTTGCGCCAAGTCAGACGAACCATCTCCTTTGCTAAGCGAATTGAGTAAAGAGTCTTGATGGATTGTTCCGTTGGGAGAAAAAGTTCTATATAGAAGACCGTCCCTAATTCCTAGCCCTTCTTCCAAATTAATATTGTTGTTTAACATGTCCCTAGCTTGGTTTTGCGATAAAACGTTATTGGCGGTCGCCCTTCTGAGCAAGTCCATAGAATTCCATGCATCTTGCGCCGAAGGTACCGTATGATGTCGACGGTGATGCATGGGCGATCGCTGCCCGACGTTTCCCGTGTGCAACGCAGCCGTGGGATTTGTCCCGATTGTCCCGAGAAGTGTTGCAGGGCTTAGGGGCAGCGTGCCGAGTCCCCATCTACTAGCCCTAGCCAACTCTTCAAGATCATTCTCATTTATAACAGAATTTCCTAACATAGCAGCCGGCAAACTAGTGGGAATTGGCGGAATGGTTCCCGTATCTGCTACTGTCTCCGCCAAGCTACCGTTTGACGCAGTCCTTGAGGTAGTAGTGGTGATGTTAGGTATGGGATACCGCTGATTGAGGGGTACTGCTGATATAAGGGGTGACGGCGGTGGCGAAGGAACTGGAGACGACAATGCGACGCCATCGGATAGAAACGAGGTCGTGTTTGCTTGCGTCGACAAAACATTCTGCGAGAGAAAATTTGATGTCTCTGTAGAAGATGCAGGCGACGAGTCCTCGATAAGAAGACTATTTCTTGGCGAGTTCGTGGCAAGATTTTGTGCCAGAGTGGAAAGAGCAGAAGGATCCGGACCTATTCCACCAGACGTGGAATGGATAATCCCTGCGGAGTCGAAAGGTGATGGAGTGCAGTGTTCAATGTTCAACCGTTGCATTTCCTTGTGAAGAAGATCTTGGTGCTCCATCGACGATTGGGCTGGAATTTCCTCCAAATCTTCCACGGAACTCTGGAGCAGTACTTCTGCTCTTTGCCCATCCAAGTCCAACTCTTGACTCGTATGAGCAGGCGCGTACTGCTGCTGGAACTGAGCGAGTGTGGCGGCTAATGAGTCAGCACTGTCAGAAGCCCTTCTGCTGTAAAACTGCTGCTGCAGATGAAGCTCGTGTTGTTCTTGTTGTCTACGCTGCTGTTCTGCTTCAGCAACTCGGCCATATTGCTGCTGGAGTTGCAGGCACTCTTCTTGCAGCTCACGAAGGCTGTTTCGTTTGGACCCGCTACCGCTGATGCGCTCCATATGCTGCTTGTAGGCTAGCACCGAAGCAGCTCCATCTGAAGCTCGTCTTGACCCATTGTATCGAATCCCGGTGGGGGTAGTTATGAATCCCTCCCGTCCTGGGCGGTCCCTTGCTGGGGGAAACATAGTCCGTCTGGTTTTCAACGGCACTTGTAATAACCGCAGTTGAAGCATGTCATCTGGCATTTCATTAGGTGAGGTGTGACGTTGCCGTGCCCCTCGACACGCCATGTACCGTGCAATGGCGTCTTGGTCAGGTTCCTGATCTGAGCCGCTATCGTTTGCTCCTTCACTTATTTGAGGGCTCGATGGTCCGGGTGAAACCGAAAACGGTGACTGACACACAAGTGGATTATGGCTGTTTAACGGCGAACCGCTAAGTGAGCCTGTATGACCCTGAGTATCGTCTCCTAATCCAGCCATGGCACGAAGAGCATTAAACTGCGCAATTCCGGCTGCTAAGCTCGTTGGGCCATCGGAGGCCCTTCTCCCCAAGGGCGGTCTAAGCTGGAACACACTGGGAACCTGAAGAATTTGCTCCTTGTATGCCAAAGACAGGTCCAGTGTGGGCGAATATGGCGGCAAACCTGGATTCAATCCTAAAGCACTGTGGAATGCATCCTCAGCGGCCTGACTAAGAGGACTCAAGGGCTGTTGGACGAATTTCTGAGTGAGCATCTCTCGTAGCTCCGGTTCCATCAAAGGATCCACAGCAGTCAGAGTGTGCCGCCGTTTCTCCAGATAGGTCTTCAAGCTCGGAGGGATCTCGTCCGGCATCTTATCGTCTTCTTCATCACCCTCCTGCGTAAGGTCCCACTGGTCCTGGAGGGGCTTCACTCGCCTTGTGGGCGAATCAGGGGTCACTTGAACAGTAGGAACATTCATAGACGGCTTCTCAGTCCCAACCAACTCGTCTTCAGTCTCCATCATTTCTGAATCACCCGCGTTGCCAGATATGGCTGTTATGTTAGCGCAAGGATCGTGTGACGAGGTCGCAGATCTTTTGAGCTTTTCCAGAAGTGTGAAATAAATACCGGAGAACTGGTCATAGTCCTTCTTGAAAAGCGACTGCAACGGTAACAAGGAAACTGATGTAAGACGCGACATTTATCGAGTACATTTAGTCACAATTACGTTCGCAAGAGTTTGAAATTTGATAACTAGCTTGACAATGAAACACGTCCAAATGACAATGAAACATGTCCACTTTTCCAGAAAAACCTTGCTGAATTACAATTAGACACGAGTCCTTTGCAATATACTTAAAAAATATTCCTATTTCAAGTTATCTACCCCCTACAAATTTCGTTCTCGTTTCCACCTGACAAGTCTTTATCTTCGAACTGAACAAGAAGATATGCTTCGACTTGTCAACATGAATGCTTGCTAGTATACCCGACTCGACGAAGAAACTCCCAAGACATATTTGGAACTAAGGGAAATTCTAATCCAGAAAATTCTCGTTGCCATGTTGTTGGGGAATTAAGCACAGACTGGAAGGAGAATCTGCCTTCTCCTGGCGTATTTTGACATCAACCAATCAATCGGAAAGCACTCCTAGTTGCATCATAATCCATACATACCACCAAACAAATTCTCATCGGGATGAAACTTGAAAAGTTTAAGAATTGCTACCAAGTAGAGCTACCAAAGAGAAGGCAATAAAACTTGAGGACACAGTGAAATAAAAATTAGCACCTGGATAGCCTTTTCCCGATCAATTCCTCTGCTTTGCATAATTGTTAAGACTTCTTCAGTGAGCTCCGAGTCAGGTATCGTATCTGTCGCAAGAGCGCTGGCTTTGTCTTCCTCAGTCATCTCGTTGAGCCACTTGTGGTTCATAATCTGCACCATGGTGTACCTCTTAGCCACATCACGAACTAACATGTGACGAATGAGATGCTCGCATTCTAAATAAGGACAAAATTGGTATAGTGAGTCATTTTGTTGGTTGCCTGCAGTATAGGTGTCTCATTAGGGCGAGTTGACATTAAGAAGCGCGCGATCGTATATTCAACCGGCCAAGTTTAATTTGGAGTTAAAACCGACGGTCGGGGGAGGAGGCGGGAAGAGCCACCATTACCCAACCCTCATCCCCATCCTTATTTTTTCACTGTCGCTAAAACCCTTTTTAACAAATTTCTTTCTCTCCCCAGCCTTCCGATTCCATTAAAATTAAAGATTAGTAGTAATCAAAGATTAGGGAGATGCGTTCGAACCGTGAGACAGACAAAGCACATGGCCGATTGCAATGACGTCATTTGCATGTGAAAAATTTTCCCCTGAAGAATTTTTCGCGGGTGCCAAATTTGTAACGATGAATACATGTCAAAAAATTCGAAGAATGTCGATTTCGACTGCGCTATGAAAGCTTTCTTTGACGAACGCAATAATTTTTGCTAAGAACATACTGAGCACTCGCTAGTCAAAATCACGTCTGCTCTGCAGGCTACTTTGTTGGTTACATAACTATCGGTTTCTACGGTATGAAGCAACAAGGAAGTCTAGTCCATCTGATCAGGATGCAAATCTGCTCTGCAGGCTATTTTGTTGGTCATGTGACTGCCGGTTTCTATGGTATGAAGCACCAAGGAAGTCTAGTCCATCTGGTCAGGATGCAAGTCTAACGCAGTTTACCCCTAAGCGATTTCGCCACCTTTTTTTCAGTCCAAGAAAGACACGAGGCTTGGGTTCCACTCAAAGGGAAATTCCCTGACGTTTCCCTGACTTTGAAGATTTCTCTTTTTCTTCTTGACTTTTTCTTGACCTGTGGCAACCATGTTGTTGGAGCGAGGAAAGAAAAGAGAACACTCCTTCCCGAAGTTTACCTAGACAAGG